TTATGGAAGACCCGGATGCTTCAATAGCGGCCTTCGGCTCTTCTGCATTGTTCGGTCTCATGTCTCATCTTTCTCTTGGCAATGCCCCATAGATTCTCTATGGGGTTCAGGTCAGGCGAGTTTGCTGGCTAATCAAGCACAGTAATCCCACGGTCATTTTACCAAGCTTTGGTGCTTTTGGCAGTGTGGGCAGGTGCTGGAAAATGAAGTCAGCATCCCCATAAAGCTCGTCTGCGGAAGGAAGCATGAAGTGCTCCAAAATCTCCTGGTAGATGGCTGCGTTGACCCTGGACTTAATAAAGCACAGTGGACCAACACCAGCAGATGACATGGCTCCTCAAATCAACACAGACTGTGGAAACGTCACACTGGACTTCAAGCATCTTGCAGAGTGTGCCTCTACATTCTTCCTCCAGACTCTGGGTCCTTAGTTTCCAAATGAGATGCAAAAGTTGCTCTCATCAGAAAAGAGGACTTTGGACCACTGAGCAACAGACCAGGTCTGTTTTTCTTTAGCCCAGGTAAGACGCTTCTGACGTTGTTTGTTGTTCAGGAGCAGCTTGACAAGAGGAATACGACATCTGAAGCCCATATCCAGGATCCGTCTGTGTGTGGTGGCTCTTGATGCACTGACTCCAGCTTCAGTCCACTCCTTGTGAAAGTTCCCAACACTTTTGAATGGCTTTTCCTGACAATCCTCTCCAGGCTGCGGTCATTCCTGCTGCTTGTGCACCTTTTTCCCCCACACTTTTCCCTTCCACATAACTTTCTATTAATTTGCTTTGATACAGCACTTTGGGAACATCCAACTTCCTTCGCAATTACCTTTTGAGGCTTTCCCTCCTTATGGAGGGTGTCAATGATGGTTTTCTGCACAACTGTCAGGTCAGCAGTCTACCCCATGATTCCCCTACTGAACCAGACTGAGAGACCATTTAAAGGCTCAGAAACCCTTTGCAGGTATTATGGCTTACTTAGATGATTAGAGTGGGACACTGTGAGCCTAGAATATTGCACCTTTTCACAATATTCTAATTTACTGAGATTGGGGTTTTCATGAGCTGTAAGGCATAGTCATCGCACTTATAACAAATCACGGCTTGAACTATCTTGCTTTGCATGTAATGTGTCTATCTCATATATTAGTTTCCCCTTTTACTTTGCATTATTTAAATAAATGAACTTTTGCACGATATTCAAATTTTTTGAGTATCACCTGTACATCTGTGCCAGTTTAAATTGATCTTGCAATGTAATGTTTGGGTGACTAGTTAATTTTTTGCCCACAATATCATGGGATTGTTAAAGGCACACTATAGTCACCCAGACCACTTCAGCTCAATGAAGTGGTCTGGGTGCCAGGTCCCCCAGGTTTTAACCCTTCAGAGGTAAACATAGCAGTTTGCAGAGAAACTGATATGTTTACATTGCAGGATTAATCCAACCTCTAGTGGCTGTCTTCCTGCTCCACTCGGGAGCTGCCGTCGCCGGGGTGGAGAGGTCACCAGCGCCGAGGGAGCCCGGTGCTGGATTAAGGTAAGTGTTTTTTTTATCCTCTTCAGTGCCAAGGGAGAGGGACCCTGAGGGTGGGGGGTCCTAAGGATGCTATAGTGTCAGGAAAACAAGTTTGTTTTCCTGACACTATAGTGATCCTTTAAGTTGTTTGAGTTGCCAGCATCAAATATGCCACCAAGCACTACAGAAATTTTGTCAAATGTAATTAACAAATCTAAACGAATCACTGGTTTCGCTTTTGTTTTGAAGAATTTAAGAGGACTGAAAGGGCAAATAAACATTCCTTTTAAAATAAGGGAAGGAAATGTGTTTAAACAAATGTCTGGACATTGCTGCTATTTGTAGAAAGGATTAAATTGTTGCCCAAACATTCCTAGTTATGTAGTGCTATTTTTACCAGTTGGAAGACAGTCAGCCGAAACAAAGTTCTGCAATCAAACAGTTAATTTGAATGAATTCATAATTTAATCACTGACTAAGGTAATGTGCAAGATTTCTTATATTAATGCTGAAAACTGTTTTTATCAAACAGATAGCATTGTTTTCTCTTTAAACATATTTACATAAAAATTGTGCTTGAGGTAAAAATGTCAAGGACTAAAATAAATTTAAAGCCTGAATAAATATTATTGCAGTTGATCATATTAGAAAGTACAATCATGGACGTCCGCGGGGATTTTCCCGGGGGGCGGGGGAAGGGAGGGCACAAATGTAATGACATCCATACTTGGCCCCTTTTTGACAGTGTCATGAAGGGGAGGGACATAGTCATTATCACATAAAGCCAGGGTGAATAGCGTTTTCACAACTATGGTGTCAGGAATACATGTTTGTATTCCTGACACTATAGTGTTCCTTTAACCCCTTAGTGACCAGACCGTTTTTCAATTTTCTTACCGTAAAAGACCAGGGCTGTTTTTAAATTTCTGCGGTGTTTATGTTTAGCTGTAATTTGCCTCTTACTCATTTACTGTACCCACACATATTATACATCGGTTTTCTCACCATTAAATGGTCTTTCTAAAGATACCATTATTTTAATCATATCATATAATTTACTATAAAAAAATTATGAAATATGATGAAAATTAAAAAAAAACACACATTTTCTAACTTTGACTCCCAAAATCTGTTACGCATCTACACCCGCCAAAAAACACCCATACTAAATAGTTTCAAAATTTTGGCCTGAGTTTAGAAATACCCAATGTTAACATGTTCTTAGCTTTTTTTGGAAAGTTATAGGGCAATAAGTACAAGTAGCACTTTGCTATTTCCAAACCATTTTTTTTCTATCAATTAACTAAAGTTACATTGTAACACTGATATCTATCAGGAATTCCTGATTAATCCTTCACATGTATATATTTTTTTCATGCAACCATTTTACCACCAATCTATGCCAAATTTTTTAAAATAATAATAATAATTGGTGATTATTTTTTTTTTACATATATAGCAATTTAAGAATACATGTACTGAGAACTTTAAGGGTTACTGCCCAACACCCCAATATATGTTCAGCAACATCCCCCGAGTCAGTGATACTACCCATGTATAGGTGTGTTGGGTTTTCTGGGGGCTAAAAGACCTTATTTGGAGGGTGCACGTTCCAGTTTTACAACTTGGAATTTTCACAGCTGGTCATCATGCACCCATGTCCTATTTGGGACATTTTTTAAGCTGGCTAATGTATTTTACTGCCATCAAACCATATATTTTTGAAAAGTAGACACCCCAGGGTGGTATTTTAACACTTTCCATGCACTAATTTTATCACCAGTCTTTGTCAAATGTTTGGGTAGTAATTTTTTTGTGCTATTTTTCTCTTACATTGCACTTTAGGCATGGATTCTCAGTTCCGGTTATGTATTACTGACAATGAACACCCGAATATGTGTTCAGCAACATCTTCCGAGTACAACAGTGCCCCCAATGTACAGGTTTTATGGGTTTTTGCAAACTTACAGGGGTCAAATGTAGGGCTTTCCCCTTTTCCATGTTTGCACATTGAAATTTGCCAGATTGGTTTGCTGGGCCTATGTTGCCTTTGAGACTGTATGGCAGCCCAGGAATCAAAATTAACCCTATTATGGCATACCATTTGTAAAAGTAGACAACCCATGGTACGCTGTACAATGGGTGGACTAACAGACATGTAACTGTAACCAGACAACTGGACGTACAGGAACAGAGAGGTGGAGGGCCCTGCTCAATGAGCTTACATGGGGTATAGTGACACAAAGGGTAAAAGTAGGGGTACGAAGTAGGCTGATAGAAAAGTATTCACTGAGTGCTTAGTAGGTGATTTTTGACAGTTGCAGGAGAGGAGTCATGGAGGGTGGTAGATAAAAACCTGCTAACAGTTTAATTGATATGCTTTCTTGAAGAAGTGAGTTTTCACGGGAGCCCCGTGCTGGATCTCAACCGTTCACCTACACTAGCACAGGCTGTCTGGAGAACAGCCCACTAGAAGACCCGAGCAGATGGAGATAGAGTCAGAAGCGGAGGAGATTGGTGTGGAGCAGGGGGACATCCACCGCTTACATTACTGGCCCAGCATTCACCATGGGCCTACCTCCCCACTGACGCTGACACCAGCAAGCATGATCAAGGAGGCAACAGATTTCAGCAGAGGGGTCTTACCCTCGCCTCCTCTTTCAGTACCGGCTAAAATGCACCTTTGAACGGCTGGAGATGGACTAAAAATGAGAAATACTCGCCAGGAGGAGCGGATCAGGGCGGCTCGTGCGGACTTCGGCACTGCTGAACGCCAGACGGATCAACCCCACGCTGACTTCCCGCCCGCTGGAGAAGTGAGTGCCCTGGCTTCTGGGTCGTGGGTCCCCGGAAAGCCTCGTCTCTGATGCTGAGAGCCCTGTGGGGAAGGTCTACGCAGTCCTTCCGGCGGACCGGTGGCCGGGAGGGGTGTGCGCCGGTCCCAAGTATGTGGCCGGCACCGGGAGAGACATTGGGGCACGCATTTCACTGAGTCCTGGGTGGTGATGGGGAGGTGCAGGGAGTGGACAGCCCGCGGACTCAAGGTGTGGGGGTCAAATGGACAGTTTCTGCTCCTGAGTGCCCACGGCGCCATGGGGGGCTCTGACAGTGGGCGGGAGTCGGTCTGGCGAAGGCAGCTGGAGGCTTGGCGACCTAAGAGATGTACTGCAGCTGTGCCGGGTGAGGCCCTCATCAGACTTCTTCTAAGTCCAGCATTACTCCATTATTGTCATCGTTTTTATATTTTATGTGCCCATCTTTATTGCATATATATTCTATAATTTACTAGGCGCTGATACAACGCCAATAGCTGCGACCGCACACTGCCTAGCACTGCCTGACCAAAATATCATATCTGCTTAAAACAACAATACGCAGCTATGAAAATGCGTTATAGACAGCACTACTATTTGCCTTTTGTTAGTTTGCTATGTTACACAGGTTTAGGCCTAACTAGACGCAGTTGAATTACACCCATCTGTGGAGTACTAAACTGATGCACCCAGGGTACTGCGGTATACCTTCGTAACCATACTAGCTTATCAATGAACAGCGGCATATCTTATCTAAATACACGATTAATCCAGCTGCACACTTTATTTTCTGACCAGATAGGCATAACTTAAATAAGTGGTAATATGCAAAGATTGCAGCTGACCAACAGGTTCAGGCCTAGCTAGACGCGGTCAAACTGCACCCACCTAAGATTTATTAAACCGACTCACGCTGTCTGACCGTCATATCACACTAGCTGTATCTGCCTCATACAGCTGCGTGTGATCATGCTCAGCCACCGCCGGAGCGAAATAGGTGCATAAGACTCATAAACCGCTGTCCCCCAAACAAGGTAAGGTAAATGACCATGAAGCTTAACATTCAAGTGAAGCCAGCCTGATGTGTAGCATTAGTTCAGTATGCTCATGCTCATGCTTATAAGTGTATCCCTGCAAAGTTCAAGTACGCCTATATGTTTTGATCAATACGCCTCTGCGCAGGCGATAATCTGCATTTATTCTTATGTGCTAATATTTAAGCCTCTACGTAGGTGACCTTTCACCTTAATGAATGCTATAAATAACTGCTTAAGCCCCTGCGTGGGCAACCTCTTGCTTTATTACGAACCAGTTCGCAATATGCACTTATATTGTGAAAACAATAAAAATATTCAATCCAAGAAGTGAGTTTTCAATGATTTTTTGAATGAGTGGAGACTGGGTGAAAGTCTTATGGAGAAAGGAAGGAAGTTCCACAGAAGAGGTGCAGCCCTGGAGAAATATTGGAGGCGAGCATTAGAGGTGGGAGTACGGACAGAGAATATATGTAGATAAAGACAGGAGCCTTTAGAAAAGCACCAACCCAGGCAACACGACCCGGCTGTAAGTTGGATGCTCTTTGGCTACAGCACCTTGTGAGACACCCCCACGCCAGCAGCTCGCACCCTCTTAAGGCTCTTCTTCAACGAGCATCGCAGAAGCCGGCTACTCAGACCCGCAATCAAGCCCAGCCTGCTACACGACAAGGGACTTGGGTTACACATACCTTGGACTGTTATCTGGTTCAGGGTAGGCGATTTGCCCCTAGGCCAGGCCCCGATGAACCAGTGACGGATCCAGAGTCTGATCTCGGGAGGGGCACTTGTAGATTATTTAAAGAAATAATTCATGCACAATAACCACTACAGCTTTGTGTAGTGGTTATGGTGCCTGGAGTGCCAAAAAACCCCTCCCAGAGTAAGTAGTCAAACTGTTTAAGAACATTTTTACAACTTACCTGGAGTCGGCTGGGATATGGGGCTGTAGTAGGGCATAGAAGCAGTGGTGTGTGTGAGTGGTGAAATGTTTGGGGGGGGTTGTAGTGTGTGAATGTGTAGGGTGTGTGGGGCAATGCGTGTATGGGGGGCTGTGTATGTGTGTGTGTGTGGGGCAATGTGAGTATGGGGGCAGTGTGTGAATGTGTATGGTGAGTGTGGGGGCAGTGTGTGTATGGGGGCAGTGTATGTGTGTGGGAAAGTGTGTGTTTGGGGGCAGTCAATGTGTATGGTCAGTGTGGGGGCAGTGTGTGTATGGGGGGCAGTGTATGTGTGTGTGTGGGGGCAGAGTATGTGTGTGTGTGGGGGCAGAGTGTGTGTGTGGGGGCAGTGTATATGTGTGAGGGCAGTGTGTGTATGGGGGGCAGTGTGTGTGAGGGCAGTGTGTATGGGGGCACTGTCTGTATGTGTGTGGGGGTAGTGTGTGTGTATGGGGGGGCAGTGAATGTGTATGGTGAGTGTGGGGGCCGTGTGTGTATGGGGGGGCGGGAGACAGAGCCACATACGAGGCATCTAATTGCAACGCAGCCTAGCCATGCATTCTGTTGAATTTTAATAGATATGTTTAGTGCAATAAGTTTAGAACAAGTTATACCCTCTTGATATATATAATTTAACAAAAATTGGCCAATATGTGAGCTGGTGGTTTAGGGAAACCACATCTTGTACACTTTTCCTCCCACCAAGAATGGACACTGTGGACAGATCCAATATTCTTTCTGACTGGTGGTAGTAGAACCAAGAGTTGCCTGATTTGGGGG